AAGTTTTTGTTTTCTTTCGACTTTTAAGAAATGTAAACAAAAAGTTTTTTTTTAATTTTTTTTAAAAAAAAAATTTTTTTTATAAACAAATTAATTTTTTTTAACTTTAGACCGGATTTTTAAAAATTTTTTTTAAATTTATTTATATTTTATAATATAGAGAAGATTTTACAAAAAGTCCCGAAATGGGCCTGATGTGTTAAATGAGTTTTAAAACATTTTCAAAAATTACTTGCAAGCATCACAGTGGGATTTTTTTACAATTAACTTTTTAAAACTGTCTACAGCGTATAATTTTTAATCTATTTGAGTGTTCTTTGTTTTAAATTAAAGGGTCTACGCTGTAGACAGTTTTAAAAAGTTAATTGTAAAAAAATCCCACTGTGATGCTTGCAAGTGATTTTTCAAAATGTTTTAAAACTCATTTAACACATCAGGCCCATTTCGGGACTATTTGAAAAAACTTCTCTACACTATAAGGTATAAATAAATTTAAAAAAATTTTTAAAAAATCCGGCCCTAATTTTTTTTTTAATAAAAAATTAAAAAAAAAATTTTGTTGTTTAAAGTTCTTAACAGTAGAAAGAAAACTAAAACTTTCATACCTCGACAACTTTTTCCTAAACTCACTATTTTCGGACTTATAAGCTACTGAATATAGGTCTACAATTAAAAGTCCAAAATTTCGAAAATTCATAACTCGAAAATTTAGACAATTAAACAAAAAATATATTTGGCCGATTTTAAGAGGTCGACTAAAATCTCACGCGAAAATGCTCATATATTTATATATGTTTTTTGAGGGGTGGGGATTTTATCGTGGGAAGAGAATAAGCGACCCTGGTTCGCTTAAGGATGTTGGTCCGACGGACAGTCATCGATTGCGTCTCATGAAAGGAAGTAGCATTCTCCCACCATGAGGCACACAACCGTCCTACAGTTCAGGACTTAATGCTCGGGTATGGCCCGCGCCGGGGTGCGCCCGGTCTCTTTAATCCTTAATTAAGCAGTTTTGCTTAATGACTTTTTCCAACAAAATGTAATTTTTTAAATATTAACATTTGTAAGTTTTTTTATTGCATTGTTTTTAGAATAATGCAAAAAAATGAAGAATATCCTGATAGCATTCGGATATAAAGATATCTTATGGATATACTGGGGATAATAATCATTCGTCCGGGGAAATTAAGATATTCCAAGAATATCCCAGAGGTTTCATGCTCATCTCTGCGACATCTTAGGAATATCTTCATTTCCCTGGACCAATGGTTATCCCTAGAACATTCATAGAATATCCCTGAATATCCTCTTTTTGAATTCCAATAAATATTCAAAGATGCCTGAAAAAGTTAAGTGTATATAACCTTATTTTGAATTATTCTAAGTCATCAATTTTGATAAAATTAAATTTTGCAAAGATACGTAACTGTCTATAATCAAAACGAAGAGTTTGTCAAATTTAAAAAATGAAAGGCTAATTGCTATTTCGTTCAAGTATATATTCCCCTCGTTGTCATATAAACGTCACAGGTACTATATAACTTGTTTCAAATATCGCTGATCGTAATCAATAATAAATGAAATGGGAATACAATACAGTGCTGTTTTTGTTCCAATATGACCGTTACAAAAAGATATCACTTCAATCTATCAAACTTGAAACTGCGACACAACAACTAAACACTACCACGAACTTGACCCTTTTGCTTCACTGATTCAATTCTGACTTTTACCCCTTTAATGAGAACAAAAGAGACAAATAAAGAATTTTTCTTGAGATGTCTCGAGAAATTAAAGACGAACATTTGAAAGAATATTTAAAGAGAACAAGAAACTAAGCACACACAACTCAATTTATCAAAAGACATTTTTTATAACATATGTATGGAAAGTGTAGAATAAGCATCGTTAAATTTCAGTAAAAAAATTTTTGAAAGCATTGTTTTTAAAGTGATACTGTGATTACAGTTAATAGTTTAAAATTTCTAAACTTTGTGGTAATTTTCTTTACATATAATACAATAGTATTATAAATTAATATCGATAAAATTGTGTGTTATACAATTTTTTGATAACTTTAAAAAATGTCGTTCTTATTGTATGAAATAGGATAAATAATTAATAATATTTTACAATGGCTTCTTATAAGCAAAAAACAGAGTTTGCAACTATTGATTCTGTAATTATGTTATATAATACCGTTTAGAAATTACAGTCGTTTAAAAGATGGTTGGCCACCTTGGGGCCCCTTACCCTAATTTTTTTTTCTATCGTCAGAGTATAGAACAGGACTAAATTCTAAATTTCTTTGAATAAAAAAGAGTAGAGTAGAAGAAAATAAATTTAACTAAACATTTATTTAACGTACGGTAAACAGGCTACATTTTAAAATTACAAGTTTGAAACTTGAATAAAAGTAAAATTGATAGATTCCCTTTTGAATAAAGTACATATTACCAGTATATAATTTAGTTCCGCTGTAACAGATCTTGCAACTAGCTGGTAAACATGTAATGTACGGCACTGAACTGTCAAAAATACATGCAACAATGTGTGAAAGTAAAATATTGTGAAACAAGAAAACTCATAGAGTACAACAGAAACAACTATTTTATAAATACATATGGTGTCGATATTTATAAAAAACAACTTTAAAAGACGACTGGACGAAACAGTCATTGCGTTAATTGCTGGGCAATAAACCACTTGTCGTAATAAATTATTCTCTCACTCTCTCCCAATAAAAACAACCAAGAGTTGCAAAGTATTGAATTTATTTCAAGTCTTTTATTATAATTTTTGAAGAATAAAAAATCTTTAAAGGTAAATTTAAAAATGAAAATTAATGAAAATTAGCTTCTAATTTTTTAAAATTCAATATTTTCAATTACATATTTTCAAAAATTCATATATATACAAAAAAACATTTTAAAATTATTTTTAACATTTTAGAGAAAACAATCATGTTCAAAAATTTTAATTAAAATTTATCAATCTAATTCAAAAATAATTTTAAAAGATTTTAGAAGAACTTTCGATAAATTTTTTAAATTAATTGATTCAGAGACGAAGGTTTAGTTGCAAATTGTAGAAAATAATTGAATTCAGGAAGGGTTATAATTGTCATTTTAAAAAATAATTAAAATCATAAATTTTACTCATTTTCCGTAAACATTCATATTTTCCTGTAAAAAGAATTTTTTCAGGGAAATTAATTTTAATATCAGTAAATTGTCAGGGAAATTGATTAACTGAAACTTATGATCATCCTAATTAAGCTTAAGATATCTTTTTTGGAAATATCTTTGATTATATATGTCCACGTTGACATTTGCTTTAACACCCCCCCTCCCCTTCGTGGACAAACGTGGACTTTTGATTCACCCCCCCGCCCCCCAAATGTGTCCACGTGGTTTATGGACGGCCCCGTATTCTTGAAGTAAAGACTTTTATATAATTACACTTTTATTAAATAAACAATACATTAATAATTAATTAACTTTTGGAAGAAAGAACATAATTGAAAAAATACAATTTGTAGTATATTTCTTCTAGTTTTTTATCCGAAATTTAATGGGTAATTAACATAAAACATTCAGTATTAATTTCATAAATTTTTAAATTGTTTAAACAATCTTTTATTATTAATATTAAAAATATTCTAATTTTTAAAAAAATTTTCAACATTTTACGCAGGAAATAATTAAATAGAATTAAATACAAAAATAAAAGGTATTGTGTAAATATTTAACAATTGTTTAAACAAATTAATTATGTTTTTTGCTAAATTTTATTTAAAAAAATTAAAAATTTGATTTTTTTAAATCCCAATTTAAATTTTAGTATTATTAAATTATCTAGTATGTAACAAAAAATGTAAAAATTTTTAAAAAATGAAATTTTTATTATTTAAGTCACTCTAATGTTTTTAAAATAAAAATAATTGGTTTAAACAATTTTGATATTAGATATAAGGAAGTTCTTTTCATAGCTACATATTCTTACAATTTTTTAATATAATTATTGTTTTCGAAATCAAAGTAAAATGTAAATTAGTATCTTGATTGTATTAAAAGTTAAAAATATTAATAATATTTTATTTAAATAATTTTAAAAATTATCATTTTTAAGCCATATTTTTGAGTTTGGCCACATTTTAGTTCATTTGAATAGAAAAAAATTTCAAGACTAAAAAAAATTGAAATTTTAATTTTTTTAAAATAAAATTTAACAAGAAACATAAATAATTTTTTTCAACAATTGTTAAATATTTACACAATATCCTTCATTTTTGTATTTAATTATTTATTATTTATTTATTTATTTACAACTTTAACGGGTTTAATTATATTTAATTATTTCCTGCTTAAGATGTTAAAAAATCTAAAAAAAATTATAATTTTGTTGGTTAATGTTAAAAAAAATTTTTAATTAATAATAAAAAATTGTTTAAACAATTTAAAAATTTATGAAATTAATACTGAATGTTTATATGTTAATTACTCATTAAATTTCGGGTAAATAACTCGAAGGAATATACTACAAATTGAATTTTGTCAATTATGTTCACAAAAAGCACATTTGGCCCCACTGTGCGATGGACTGGTTTCGCCATTATAACTTTAAATTATTCAAAATGTAGAAAATTAAATTCCTTATGCTTGTACCAAAAGTAATTTAAAATTTATTTTGACCTTTTCCTTTGCAGTACGAAATTATGACATTGAAGTAACTTCTGTTCCGATTATTTGTCAGATTCTTCCTTAAATCAGAAGCGATTATATTTCAACCATACATATAAAAGAGAACAGTAACCCAAGTAGAAATGAAAAACCCCAAAAATAAAATTTTCCCAAGCGTGAAATTGATTCGGATTTTGAAAACTATAAATGTTGGCTTTCTAAACTAAAGTTAAGAATAAAAGGAAAAAGCCTTAAACGTTAATTTTAAAAACCATACCTATTAAACAAAACTAATAATTAATTCTATTTTTCTGATAGGTTCGCGATCTGGTTGAAAGATGCACGTGTCCAACACAATTTCCAATGATACGTGTTTCCGAGGGCAAATATCGTATCGGGGACACCAAGGTACTCATCTTCGTGAGGATCCTTAGAAGTCATGTGATGGTACGAGTGGGCGGAGGCTGGGACACCCTCAGCCATTATTTGGACAAACACGACCCCTGTCGATGTCGAACCTGTAAGTATATATACACAGCAGGGCGCATTATCCTTCTCTATGGTTAAGATTTATTATTTAACCAAACATTCTTTTCGAATACTGATTAGTCTAACAACAAGTTTAAATTTCCTCTCACTAAGGACAATGCCCTCATCTCTTTATGTGTATTAAAAATCCTCAATTTTCATAACCATTAGTGATACCAACACTGTGGAATTCCTATTTTAAATGCACTTTTAAACCATGTGATTGGCCAATTATCTCTTTAACGATCAACTAAATTAACAAATTCGTTAAAATATCCCAAGGATGCTTCACCTTTTATGAACTGCTTCACTTCCTCAAGTCACTTAATTCTATTTCAAAGCACAACTTAGAGTGTGCTTAAAATATCATTTCAGCGTTAACAGTATTGTCAGTAATAATAGAAATCTTAACAATCAATTTTCTAAATCATTCAGATATTAGAAATAATTATAATTCTTTATAAAGATCAATAAAACTAATCAAAGTTGTAAAGCAGAAAAAGGGAGGCTAAAAGGGATTTTCTGTTCAGCTCATCGGTCAATGATATCAGCAAAATTGATTCAGAAAGCTGGAGGATCCTTCGATCTGGGCAGCGCGCAAGTGCATTATGAACGGTAAGGAATTTATTATCAAAGCCACTCATTATATCATGTCTTTTGCCTTCTGTTCATTTTCACATACTGAAAATGGACAGTCATCAAAATAGTCCAGTGAGGAGAAGTAGCCTTCCCCCACCATGCAGCCGGGGGCCTGAATTCGAACCTAAATAGCGAATTCGGTTATCTGCTCTAGAGTGCTCTAAGAGTGCTCCAAGGCTACTCCAAGAAGGATTTGCATGTTCGGTTTGACAAATCTGTACCGGCGCGAAGCGTTTGGAGTATTCGATTTGTGAACTGCTCCGGAGCATAGTAAGGGCGTTTTGTTCGGTTTCCCCACTCTACTCTTTGACGAGTAAACGGAGTAACTGAATTTACTCCATTATCTTTGACAGAGCACATATTCGTTATGTCTGCACGGAAAAAATAAGTTCAGCAGATTTTACGAAACTAATTTCGCACTAGCGGATATTTAAGATTCCTAGACGAAGTTTTTCAAAAACCCAGAAACTTTCACTACTTTAAGCAGAACAATTGTCGAGAAACTGCAACCAGTGTTGTAATTTATAAAACAAGCTTGAATGTAGAAATGTTTCGTATTTTCTGGTGAACATTTTATCAGAAAATGGTAAAAATGTTTCGTGCAATCTAAAAACGCGTGGTTTGAGTTTCCACTTCGCTGTCTATCGTGAATTCTCGAACACAAAGTTTCGTAAAATTCTATACGGGGTGTACCAAAAGTCGCGTTATAAATAGATATGTTGAAGCTTGTATAATATGTGGAATATAATAATAATATGTGGAAGGAAAAAGAGAACTGCTTTACCTGCCGTTAACATTTGGATAATTGTTTTCTTTTACGTATTTCACATTTCATTGTTCCAAATTCGTAACATTTTTTATGTGCTTTTGTAATCCAAACTTTTAATTATTATTAATTTCTTTTAATTTACAGTCCAATAAATTTTATAGTTTATCATAATATTTACCGATGACAATATATATATTAATTTCTCAAGTTTTAACTGTTATTACTTCAAATTTTAGACAATTTAATATAAACATTTTTTGAGTTTGAATTTAATTTTGAAAATTTTTTGTCAATTTATTTATAATTTAAAATTAAGAATAAAATTATTTTCTAAAAATTGAAAAATTTTATAGAGATTTTATAACTAATTATAATCAAAAAATGTTATTTTAAAAACCATAAAATATTTTGTATAACTTTTAAAAAAATGATTTTTTTAAAAATTAATATTCAGTATATTGACATTTCTCACAAGCGCAGTTTTAATCTCCTCAGTTAGTATATAAAGAAACTCAATTCTTTCATCTACAAGTGCGAGTTATATTGTATGTGCGTTGCGTCAGAATTCGTTTATATGTATGCGTATTTCCGTTAAGTTAGTGTCAGAATAAAATAAGCCAATCCAAGCGAACCATTGCGTTGTAGAGTGCAGTCACATGTGTCGAACCAATCATCTATCTCCTATGGAAGTCGAGAAAAAATGGTCTTGAGAGCTCATTGGTACATTAAGAAATTCTTTTTTCTGCTTTATTCGTTTTTTTCTCCGTGAATATTTTTTTCCGTGGCGCATGCGCTTCAGGCTAAACATTTTACAAAACTCTTGAATTAGAACGTCCAACCGATCATTTGTGAATTCCATAGAATTTTTTTTGAGTTTTCGAGAAACGCAGTCATCATATATTACTATTGATTCTGTTTTATCTTATACTAAACTCCTCTCCGTATCCGCTATTCCAAAATTAGTTTCGTAAAATGTACTAAATTAATTTTTTCCGTGTGAAATGGTGGGAAACATGAAAATGATCACGTATTTAATGGAATGTTGTGACAGTAGTAGTGAAAGTGATGAAGAGTTATTTAATGAAATTTTAAATAATTTTAATGAAAATATAAAAACGTCCTTTAATAGCTGATGTAAACTTAAACAAATGATAACAGTCGAATATTTGTCTATTTTTCTTTAAATTAAATTAAAGAAAAATTAATAAAATATATAATACAAATTAATAAAATGAAGTAAATAAAAATAAGTAATTAATTTATATATATATATATAAATATATATATATATATATAAATATATATATATATATATATATATATACACTACCGTCGAGAATTATCGGTACAGCTGTACACGCACGGCCCAAAATCATACCAATCTTTAAATCACAATTTTCTTGTAAATACAAATGTCAAAAAATTAACAAATATACCATTCGAAAGATTATTAAATTCTACGATTAATGATATATAACTGAAAAGTTTAATAATTTATACATAGATTGCAGCAATCCACAAATTTGACAAAAAAATTTTAAAAATAAAATTTTTTTGAAAATTTTTTCAACCCTTGCACATTTTTTAAAAATTATAGAAAAAATTTGAAACTTATATAGGTGTGATCATTCAAGTCCCATCTTTAATTTAAGACCAAAAAATTTAAAAAATCTTAATCGGTTAGCGAGATATTATTATAAACGGCCGAATATTTTCATCCAAAAACCGTTCAAAATCGACTAACTCACTGCATTTGTCAAAAAACATGCAAAGGTTGAAAAAATTTCCAAAAAAAAATTATTTTTTAAATTTTTTTGTCAAATTTGTCGATTGCTGCAATCTTTGTATAAATTATTAAAATTTTCAGTTATGTATCATTAATCGTAGAATTAAATAATCTTTCGAAAGGTGTATTTGTTAATTTTCTGACATTTGCATTTAAAAAAAAATCGTGATTTAAAGATTGGTATGTTTTTGGGCCGTGCGTGTGCAGCCGTACCGATAATTCCCGACGGTAGTGTATATATATAGTAATACTTAATTTATTAAAACTTTATAGTAATTGATAATAATAAATAATAAAATAATTTATGATATAGTTCAATATACTATATTTTAACAGTTTAAATTCCTAGAAAGATATATTTATTTATTAATCAGAGTTATCTCTGCGCATGGCTTCTCATGATTTTGCTCTGCTCTGAAACAGTTGAACTCTGCCAGTGTTTATGACGTCATAGAGTACCTCAGAGTAGAGCAGAGCATTTTGAGAGCAGAGTAAACTGTACTCTTACTCCGAGCAAGATCACTCTGGGAGCAGATAACCGAATTCGCTATAAATACATCGCTCCTACCGTGGGCCACCAGGCCAATGGCCACTTAATCATTCATTACTTTTCCTTCCCTCATAACATACGGATATTCAGGATATCCTAGGGCATCCTGGGAATATTGATTTGTTTTTGGCGGTTTGGTATTATTTTTATGGGATATTGGTGATTTTTAATAAAGAATTAACTATAATAATCGTCTTATTCATTCTGTCCACACCTGAAGTTAGGTATTAAATTATTCATTATTTCCTTTGTTTCTAAAATATTAGCATTTTGTAATAAACATTTTAGATAATTAACAAATGTAAATCCTGCAAAATATTTTCTTTTTTTTAATATTAAAAACTTAATTATTTGACAAAATTTTGACTTTTTCCATGACCCTAAAGAATATTCTGATTCACTCTAAAAATTATTAGATACTCCGAAAAATGTTCTATTACATTTGTTTACGAATTTCTTTAATTCTAAAATCAATTTTACCAAATTTAAATTATTCAGAATTTCTGAATTAACCATGAATAACTTCAGGTGTGCACAGAATGAATAAGACGATTATTATAGTTAATTCTTTATTAAAAATCACCAATATCCCATAAAAATAATACGAAACCGCCAAAAACAAATCAATATTCCCAGGATATCCTGAATATCCGGAATATGTTATGAGGGAAGGAAAAGTAATGAATGATTAAGTGGCCACTGGCCTGGTGGCCCACGGTAGGAGATAGGGCTGCTTACGAGACGAGACTTATTAAAGTCTCGTCTCGGTCTCGTCAAATATGAAAATCTGGAGTCTCGTCTTGTCTCGGTCTCTCGTTTAGTCTCGTGTCAATAAAAAGAAAGTGTTGATTCATTTTTAAACTATATTTTTGTCAAGAAAATTTCCGAAAATTGAGATTTTTTCGACTTATTTTAAAAAATTGCGACTTTGTCGAATTTTCTTTCAAATATTGCAACAAAATATCATATTTTTTAGTATTAAATGTTACTGATTCCGATTTTCATAGTGCGAAAAATAACTATAAATAAATCTTTCAATAATTGTTTTTGAATCTTTTTTCTATTTAAATTTTCGAAATAAACAATTAAAAAGATTTTTAATACTTGAAATTTTGTCAAATTTAATTGAAAATAATTAATTTTTTAAACTATGTTGTTAAAAATTTTGAAAATCAAATTTTGAAGAATTTTAATTGCAAATTTTCAAAATAATTGAAATCTTTAAACTTAAAAATCTTTAAACGTAAATTTAAAAATGAAAATTAATGAACATTAACTTCTAATTTTTCAAAATTTTCTATTTTCAGTACTTTTAATGACATATTTCCGAAAATTCGAATGCATACAAAAAATAATAACATTTTAGAATGATTTTTACCATTTTGCGGACAAAAATTGTGTTCAAAATATTTCATTAAAATTCATGAATTTTAAATAATACAAAAACACTTTTAAGAAATTCAATTGTTTTCGAAAAAGTACATAAAAATATTTTTAAATACTACTTAATTGTTAGAATTTTTTTATCATAATTTTTTTAGATTTAATTATCTTCGAATAAAGCAAATAAAAATTATTATATAATTTATTTAATTTAATTTAAGCACAAAAGTGAGGTGATTGACTCATCTTTTAATGAATTTCTAAGCTAAATTACTACTTAACCTGCTAAAGAGAACAACCTCTCAATTAGAAGGAAAAAAAACTTTTTACTCTAAATAATTGATTGGAAATTACAAAATGTACTGTACGTTCTCTATTTTTATTAGATTATTTAACTATATAAATAACTATTATGATTAAAATTAGAAATACTTTATTACAAGAAAAATTTAACGAAATTACTTAGGGGTCGTCCATAAACCACGTAG